GAGGGGGTTCTGGAAACAAACAATACACTGTATGCGCATGACGATCAAGTGTTTAAAGGGTAAATAAGTTCAATATTCATGACTTTTTCCATCCATTGTCTATTTCGAAGCCATTGGGGTATTATTAAATCCATGACACAACTATAATGGGCTATTCCATTTAATATCCGTACCCCCCCTGTCGAGGATACCTGGAATTCTTCAGGGGTAGAGTGTCTTGAGCTTGGAATTCTTCAGGGGTAAAGTGTTTTGAGCTTGGAATTCTTCAGGGGTAAAGGATTTTGAGTTTGGAATTCTTAAGGGGTAAAGGATTTTGAGCTTGGAATTCTTCAGGGGTAAAGGATTTTGAGTTTGGAATTCTTCAGGGGTAAAGGATTTTGAGTTTGGAATTCTTCAGGGGTACAGTGTTTTGAGTTTGGAATTCTTAAGGGGTACAGTGTTTTGAGTTTGGAATTCTTAAGGGGTAAAGGATTTTGAGCTTGGAATTCTTCAGGGGTACAGTGTTTTGAGCTTGGAATTCTTCAGGGGTACAGTATTTTGAGCTTGGAATTCTTCAGGGGTAAAGGATTTTGAGTTTGGAATTCTTCCGGGGTACAGTGTTTTGAGTTTGGAATTCTTCAGGGTACAGTGTTTTGAGCTTGGAATTCTTTAAGGGTAAAGCATTTTGAACTTGGAATTTTTCAGGGATGAAAAGGCTTGAGATTCTTTAGGGTACCCCAATTATTAATGTGAGTGGAATTCTTCAGGGGTACTATTAAAGTTGATGTGGAATTCCTAATGGTCTTCAAATTTTGATTTTGGAATTTCTGCAAGGTAGCTGATAATACCCTGGGTTCAAGAGCCTTCAGAAAGTTTCCTAGCTAGGGGAACCTGAAAACTTCTGACACCCAGAGTAACCCCATAAATGACACATGTGGAATTCCTTAGGGGGTTAGCAAAAATTGGTTTGAAATTTCTGCAGGGGTACCCTATGATTGATCTGAATTTTTTTATTAACTAACTGCACTCTTAAGGCCGTTTTCCATTAACGTTCGCTAAAAATGTTCTGCGTGATTTAAGGTGGCTTAGTTGAAAACAATGTAGTTGTGAAAGGACAAAGAGAAATTCCGCTCCACGTGGAAAATTCCGCCTAGTGGAAAACAAGCTTTAAAGCTCGAGTAATACGAGCAACAAAATTGCTGCAACTTTAGGCCGTCGGATGAGGGTCGAAAATGTTCAATTCCGTAGCACCCCTCGTGTAACTACATAATTTTTACATGAATGGATAGATTAGAACTTACTTAGTTAGAATCCACTTCCCCCAAGCGAAATAGTTGCACAAATTGAAGTACAACCTCTCCAAAGTTCATGCTTCGTCGTATTTCGAAATCCGTGAACCGCCATTGTTGTGTTGCAAATGCGCATGCGCTTGACCACAAAACACTTAATGCGCACGCGCAGATAAAAACTGATCTCAATCCAGAACTGGAGAAACCTGGACAAGAAAAAAATATGAAATGTGCGAAAGAAGGGCTGAAGTGAAACAAGATGACGTCGGAGTGTTTTAAAAATATATGATATTTTTTATGTTTTGTGCATTTTAATGGTTTTTTCCAAACATTCTGAGTAATTTACCGTGTCGAGCCCTGGCCAGGAACACTTCCAAGCCAACATTACAATAACTTATTCAAAATATGATGTTATTTTATACTGCAGCAATTGCATGACGTTCGCAAGCGAATCTGTTTTTCAGGCTTTAAATATTATCATAATCATAAACATTCCGGGCCGAACACAGCGGGGAGACAGGGAGCAACTGCCCCCCCCCCCACCTAGAGAAAACTATATTTACGGCTTTTAGAATGTCATTATATTAATTATTCTTCGAATATTTGGGACTTTTTTCGGCATATAGGCCATACTTCCCCCTGGTGAAAAAATTCTGCGTACGTACCTGTAAACATCTAGAACACGCATATCGTTATTTATCAATTTTTAGGGGGGGGGGGGTTATCTATGGTTTGCACGTTTTATTCCCTTTAAATATGCAACATCGGGTACTGTGATTTTCATTAAAATATCATAATTATCTTTCAAATACAATACTTTATGCTTCACGATTTTATTCATTAATTTCACTCAATTAAATTTAAATATGTTGCCCAACAGCATTAAGACGAAAATCGGAACAAGACCAACAAATTACCTGACTCAGACTGAGTAATTTGCTCTTTATCAAAACATCACTGCTCTCCAAAATGTCTTCAGTGAAACCGTCATCAGTACTCTGACTCGATCCAAAAGTTACCCACCATGATCATCATCATCATCACTATCATCATCACCATCGCTGAGTGGTTATATTACTACCTGAAACAAACAAGCCGAAACTCGACGTTTCGAGCAAAGGCCCTTCGTCAAGAGTTAGTAGCCTTCGCTCGGAACGTCGAGTTTCTGCTCGTTTATTTCAGATAGTAATATAACCACTCAGCACAGAAATTTCACATTGGTACTACCACTCTGGTACAGACCGTTTCTGTTTTCCATCGCCTTTGATCTTCAAATAATTAGGGTAAACATGTTATCTAATTAACTACATGAAGTCGCAAATCGGAACAAAGGCCAACAGATGATTAACACGATGTGGGTATTAGGTTTCTCGCTCAATCTGAACTCGGAATCTTTCTTTCAGCTGGTTGAAAGAAACGTTTTACTTACACTGTGTTATTCCTACAACATCGATCTATGCTGGACCCACACCTTGTTCAAGTTATTACAACAGATGATTACCTGATCTTATCTAACCATCACTGCTCTTCGAAAATTTTAGCAGCGATATGTCATATAAAACTTCTCCGAGTTCAAATTTAGAGAAATCTTTTTACCCACATCGTGTTAATCATCTGTTAGCCTTTGTTGCGATTTGCGACTATATGTTGTGAGATTACATATTTACCCTGATTGTTTGAAGATCAATGGCAATGGAAAACAGATGATGATGGACAACTTTTGGAGTCAGAGCGGATGACGGCACGATGACGGTTTCGCTGAAAACATTTTTACAAGCGTAGCCAGGTTGGGGGTCGGGGGTGGGGGTCCGCCTACCTGGTAAAATTTTGGCGCTCCCTGAGAAAATTTATTCTATAAAAAGAAGTGAAACATGGCCCCACCTAGGTTTTTGCTGCCCCCCTCACCAAAAGTCCTGACTACGCTTCTGGACATTTTGGAGAGAAGTGATGTTTTGATAAAGAGCAAATTACTCAGTCTGAGTTGGGTGATCTGTTGATCTTGTTCCGATTTGCGTCTTAATGCTGTTGGATGACATATTTAAATTTACTTGAGTGAGAATGGACAGTGTGTTGCGGAAAAAACAGTATGTAACCAGTCACTGAAAAACTCTGACAGGGAGTGTGCTGTGCAATATCTGTATCTGTAAAAGCTGTTAATGCTAACTAGATAAGACGGGAACTCCCTTTCTCTTGGTATGTGCGCGTCGCATGCGCAAGTTATTAGGGAGTTTAAGCTTCATGCGTTTGCGTGAACAGCCGAAGACCGACTTTTCTTGGCATAATGTTCGTTCGATTTCTGCGTGTCATATTTTCTTCTATATGGCACAAGAATAGTTAAGCATTCTAGTTATAAAACAACAAGCCTATTTACTTTTTATTGCTTTATAGCGTAATTTTTTTCTTTGCCTGACGTTTGTCGTTGAATAGAATAGAATAGAATAGAAACTTTATTTCACGAGGGAAAACGCAATAACCGTAAAAGTTATCTAACATACGGCCCTCGCACTATTTTGATATTTACAGGCATAAAAAGTATTAAGGATTACGACTATTTACATTTGAGAAAAAAGTAATTAGTAATGAATACAATTACAATTTAGTAAATATTTACAATTTATACAAAATAGATCTTCGATATGGTTAGTAAGGGTAAGCTTGTTAAGAAAGATTTTACGAATTTTTTGTTTGGCGTTAGTATATGAAGAGCAAGATGGCGAAGCAGCAAGTTGCTTACAATCGCTATCTAAGCAATTAAAAAGAATGGAAGCACTGTACAGAAATGTTCGTTTACCAGAGTCAGTACGCGGGAAGGGGGGTTGAAGGTCATATGCGCAAGCTCTAGTCAGAGCCAGTTGTCGAATAGAAGATAAGAATTTAAACATTTGCTTAAATGAAGATGGAGCACTGGGATTAGTAAGAATGTTAATTAGTAAGAGAAGCTTCCTAAATTTAACAAGATCAAAAATTGGGATTATTCGAATCTGGGAAAAAAGAAGAACAGAAGGAGTAGAAAAGTCAGCGTCTAGAATAATAGGTGCTGCACGCTTTTGCAGTCGAAGAATGCGAAGTAAAAGTGTTTTTGAGCAGTTTCCCCAAGTTACAGAGCAGTAGATAAGACTTGAATTAATACAGGAGTTATAGAAACGAAGAGCACAGTCCTTAGTTAAAAAGGGTTTAATCCTGCGTAATAAAGCAAGTCTACTATTGATTGTTGAACACAAGTTGTCAATATGCTTGGTCCAAATTAAAAACTCGTCAAGCGTTAAACCCAACACTTTTGCTTGCTTCACCTGTGCAAGTATGTTGCCATTAAGAGTAACTGATAGAGAATGGTCTGAAGTATTCTTAAGTTGTTGGGGAGAATGAATGAGCATGGTCTTGGTTTTCAATGTATTAGTCACCATTCAGTTTTGTTGAGTCCATGTTGAGAGATCTTGAGCAACAAGGTTAAGTTTCACATTTAAATCATGAATGGAAGAACCTTCTGTTAGAACGGTGGTGTCATAAATGAAGCTATGTCATATGTGAAGCTTAAGCTCTCTAATATAATTAGATTGCAAACGTCACGCAATGCTGTTGCATAACAATACCTCCTACAACCTACTAAGCTGTTTCCTTCTTTGTTTTTCTGATGAACTGAGAATTTTTTATGGCACAAATATATTGCATTGGCGAAAAGGCGTTCGTGACAAAGAAGTGCATGATCAACAACATAACACGACTGTTTGAACACGAAATTGGTTGATACAAAAACCGAGTGCGTAATGAAGTTCCAGTCAGCTTAGAGTTAACCTCCATTCTTTCTCATTAATGGATTAGATACAAAGGAAATAATAAACAACGACCCTGGACTAATAAAATTGACAGGAAAAGATCTAGAAAATAAATAAGATTGTGAACACCAAGTAAAACTCATATTTAGCAACCCCCCCTATTCCCCACACCTTTTTCCTGTAACCAATTAATTAATGTATAAAATCGTGAAGCATGAAAGTATTGTATTTGAAAGATAATTAATTAATTATGATATTTTACTGATACTTACAGTACCCGATGTTGCATATTTAAAGAGAATCAAACTTGCAAACATACTCTTTGTACATATTAGAATTACCCCTCCCCCCTATTAAAATGATAGAGAAATTACGGTATGCGTGATCTAGAATGTTTAGGATTATGATAATATTTAAAGCCTGAAAACAGATTCGCTTGCAAACGTCATGCAATTGCTGTAGTATAAAATAAGTTAACTAAAAAAAAAAATTTGAATAAGTTGTTATTGTAATGTTGGCTTGGAAGTGTTCCTGGCCAGGGCTCGACACGGTAAATTGCTCAGAATGTTTGGAAAAAACCATTAAAATGCACAAAACATAAAAATATCATATATTTTTAAAACACTCCGACGTCATCTTGTTTCAGTTCAGCCCTTCTTTTGCACATTTCATAATTTTTTTCTTGTCCAGGTTTCTCCAGTTCTGGATTGAGATCAGTTTTTGTTATCTGCGCGTGCGCATTAAGTGTTTTGTGGTCACGCGCATGCGTATTTGCAACACAACAATGGCGGTTCATGGATTTCGAAATACGACGAAGCATGAACTTTGGAGTGGTTGTACTTCAATTTGTGCAACTATTTCGCTTGGGGGGAAGTGGATTCTAACTAAGTAAGTTCTAATCTATCCATTCATGTAAAAATTATGTAGTTACACGAGGGGTGCTACGGAATCTGTTTTCTAAGCATATTTTCGACCCTCATCTCACGGCCTAATACTGTATATTGATTTTGTATTTTAATCTTAATATTTATTTGTTAATAAATTATTGTTTTTCAAGCACGTTTTGAATGGTTTAATGGCGAAATGGAATGCAATTTTGATCATTTTAACCAATTTAAATGTTTTACCAATTTTAATTTGGTCATTTGAAATTGGTTAAAATGACCAAAAAAAATTGGTCGTTTGAATGCGTCTGAGACAACCAGTTTAAATTGGTCTTTTTAACCAAATAATTAATTGGTCAAATTGACCATTTATTTATTGATCAAAACAACCAATTATTTCCGGTTGTTTTAACCAATAAATAATTGGTCAATTTGACCAATTAAATAATTGGTCAATTTGACCAATTACTTTTTTGGTTAAAACGACCAATTTAAACTGGTTGTCTCAGACGCATTCAAACAACCAATTTTTTTTGGTCATTTTAACCAATTTGTTTTTACTAAGTACAGTGTATCCGAAAATATGGCTGTATAACAACCTCGACATGCAGGTTTTATTAACTATGATATTTAACTAAAGCATTCTAAATATTTTTTCATGATCGCACAAATCAATTAAATCGTTTCAAGAAATCAACACGTGCTAACAGTAGACGTTCCGCTAATGGCTATTCGAAAAGCAGAAAATGTATGGTCAAGCAGATTGTTTTAGGGTGGTGCTGGACTTCTTTAGGAGGAGAGCTATAGACACTAGGTGGGGTGCGCACCCCCCCCCCTCCTGCACTCCCACGGTAAATTCGCCCCTAGTTGAAACTGACCTGTTCACCGAGGTCTAATCTCCACCAAGGTTTCTTTGAGAACAATGTGTGTGAACAGAATCCATCATTATAGTCTCCATTTCGTACGCCATCCACAGCCTTCGACGCGACTCCCTTTTCGTATGTTGAAATTTGCCGGGCAGACTTTCCAAGTGCAAGATTGTTTCCGTTAGTTCGTGGTAAAGCTATATATACAATAGGACGATATTAATATACGATTCCTTTTCACACCAAACGATTTTACGTAATAAGTAGTTAACTATCTCTTCGACTCTTAGGATTCTTTTTTTTTCAATGTCTCGTATTGGCTATGAAAATTTTTCAAAACCTAAAATCTTTTTGGCGTGTTCCTCTTATTAAATCCTTTTCAACGGTAAAGTCGTCGCATGGAAAAGAGTTTATAATTTAGTTTTTACTGAAGTATTATCATAGAGGAACGATATTGAATTTCATTTTGCCCAACTATTTTACTTGTAAATGTTAAGAAAACCGTCGAGCCGGCAAGAGTCAAGCTTATTCATTTTTAAATGTGTCCTTTTACGGAAACGTTTATATAACTTTCGCCATAAATTCCTTACGAGAAGTTATCGAAAGAAATTTGACCAACAGAAAAATGAATTCTTTACAGGATCATCTAAGATACACACGTAAAAATCTCACAACTTGTCAACAAGATCAAGATGTGTTCGCAACAGATAACAACCTTGTAGTAATGCTGTTATTTTATCAAGTTGCTACAAGGTTGTCACTTACAACTTGTTGACAAATTGTTGAATCAGTGCAGGACGATAAAAAGTTGTTGTAGGAACTTATAACAAGTCTGTTTAGCTCAACAAGCAGTTAGTTATGAGTTAGTTAGTTATGCAGTAAGTTATGAACAACAAGTCAACAAGCTGGGAACACATCCTGTTGACAAGTTGTTGGAACAAGTCTGCTGCAGGTTTGTTACAACTTGTGCGTTTTTACGTGTGTAATACAGTATACTTACCAGCAAATGCAAAAGCAAATTTGGAAGCAGTGCAGTATCGGTGAATCACAACTCTTGTGTCGTCTTTTACGGATTCATATGCTGGTCGTGCACACGTTTTACTGCTGTGTATTAATAACCCATCCAGGTTGATCACAAATTTTCTTGTAGGGCTATCGCACGACTTGGACAAAACCAGCTCGGTATTATCTTCCGGGGGTGAACAATCTCCAGTCGGATGTACGCACATGCCGCTTAATACATGTTGAATGATACCATTCTCGTACATTCTGAAACGGCCGGTCTGTTTGTGGCATTTGGATAGCACTATTGGGTGGTTTTCCCCGGGGACTTTACCGCCGAGCGGGTAAAAACACTTTTCCGATTGGAGATGGATAATGTAGCCTATATGGGTAATGAAAAGAGTTTGGATCAGATTTACATAGTCATCTTACATGGAAGGTGATAAAATCGGAAATATTCCTGCAAAAACATTGCTTCCTAGTTCCTAGCCATGTTTCCCGAAGGTAGGCAAACAGGAAACACTGTTTTGTAGCCATGTTCGTTTCCCAAAGTTGGTCAAATTGAGAAACGGACATTACTGAAGATCAATTGTGCATCGAAGATACACATTTTAAAATTATTACTTTTCAAAGTGAGAAAAATCTTAACAGCTTCCCCCTGTAAAAAGTCATATAAATGTTACGACTCCAAATCCACCTAAACCCACCTACCTTCGGGTGCCATGTTTTTTTTCTGTGAAGGCGTGGTCGTTTTCTGTGGGGATACGGTTGTGGATTGGCATTTGTACATCAAGTTCGCTTGTAATGCATCTTTTCCGCTAAGTCGAGAACGTTGGCCAATTTTCTAGAAATTAAGTGAAGAAAAAGCAGTGAGAATCTAATCTATTTCGTAGAAAGATCATGTACAGTCGAACACCTGTTAAGCGAACAGCTTCCGGATCTCACCAATGTGCCCGCTTAATTAAAGAGGGTGTCCTTTGATAGGGGTTTGAAACAGTCGACATAGCAGGGGGCAACGCCCAACTGATTTAGGAAAGGGGCTTGTTATGGTGTGGAACTTCCGAGTTAAAGTTCCGAGTTAAAGTTTCGAGGAGACAGTTTCTCTTCCAATCGGTTGAGAGACACAAGTTAAAGAAAAGAGAAGTTTGTTTTAGGAGATTAGCTCAAGTTATTTCTTTTGCTCCTAATTCTCACTATACCGATATATAGCGAAAGAAATTTTAATTCTGTTTAAGTAACAATAGACAACATTCGTTTGTCTAACAACAGAAAATTTTGTCCGGGTTAACGACTGTTATACTGTCTGATGACTAATATTAGAGAGGTTTAGATTTCACTTCCACTACCATTCAGGGACCACTTTACCAATTAGATATGTGCCATATGTCCGATTAACCAATCAATTGCATACTAAGCCAGCGAGAGATATAGAACTTCGGTCTTAGTTAACTATAACATATTGTGTCAACAATACATTTATTTCTTTGCATCGTGATTCGTATTTTATTGGAAACTTACAGCTCCAGCCTGCTTTGGTACAATGGTGTCCCGACCATTTTTGGAGAATGCCCGTCGTGGATAGTGCATAACACTGTCGTAATCATAGACCACGCCCAGAGAATCAATCTGTCCATGAGAATACTTCCTGAACTGTCCTTCCATGCCTGCAAATGAAAGGTAGGTCATTTTTAATTGTAAAAATATAGCTTGATTTTTATTCGCTCATGTGACCGCTTTGCTACACAGCTAACGAGCAATTATTGTGGAGGTTGTGTATAAACGTACATGAAATTCTAACCCAATTATGTTTGTGAACGTGAACCTGTAAAACTGAATAATATTGGCCGACTGGTTCATCTTTTATGTGGAGAATTTAATACAAACCTTTTCTGATATTTTCCGTTTTGATTGAAATATACTTATCGCGATCTGGTCGACTCTGTTCATGCCAAAATCCCAGAGCATGACCTGGAATAATTAACAAAAATACTTTATATAAATGTATAGACTATAGAATGATGTAACAAATGTTGTATGGCAAATGCGTTTTTAGCCAAACCGAGAAACCTGCATGATCAATTTCTGGCGTAGCATGAATTTTCTGGAAAATTTTCTGGCGTAGCATGGATCCCCTTGATATAGTGCCCCCCTCCCCCCAAGTGGTGCCCTTTCTTGGCATCAGTATTTATCTTGGGATCAGACCATTGATTAGTTTTATGTTTTAGTCCCAATAGTATTAAGATTCTCAGTGCACTGAAACAATTTTTTCTCTGTTAAAATATAGCATGACATCCGGTTTGGGTAGTATATCCCCCACCCTGTAACAATGCCTTACCAATTTCGTGTATAATGGTGCCATGTCCCCAACAACCGTTGGCCAAATTGATCTGTTGTTTCCCATGGCCATTACGTCCAATACCGTTTGACCAACATCTGAAACAAATCAGGATGAAAACACCGGTATAGTCTTGCAGTCGTTTTTGGCAGTATTGCCAGATCGTTTTACATGAAGTAAAAATGCTGTCTAAACCTACCCACTGTTTTGTTTGGTAAATTCTACGTAGTCTTTTTGGCTTGTTCGTTGTACAAATTTGAGGCACGTCTTAGCTCTCCATTCCGCCATTGCAGCAAAAATTTTTTGTCTGTTGGATGAACCTGTATTAGACATGGTTTGGAAATTAGTAATAATAGAAAATGTAGTTTTGATCGAGGGCCATATATTATTTTTATACCCGAGGGTGGTACCAAACTAATACTGTGACATCCATTCATCTACTCTCAATATAAGGCGAAAAAAATTACTCAACCGGATAATATTTTTTTTCATACTGACCTATCGCAGATGAAATGACGTAAGTCATTACACCATTTGGCCATCGTCCAAACCTTCTGGCTGCAAGAACCATTCCGAATTCCACGTCGTCTCGCGATGCTTCTGCTAGTGCTGGGATGTTCAAATCTCCTTCGAATAAGTCCTCTCGTTCTATAGTTAAGTTTAAAAGCAGAGAGTTTAAAATATTATCAATGAATGCTTCTAGAGTGACGCCATGCATATTTACAAGTAGCAATTTTAGCAAAACTTACTGAACTTCAGACATTATTTTCTCTTTGGCGTACGATCTAAAATCTCTTCTTTTTAGCATTATTTTTGCAGATAAAGCACGAAATATACTTTTTACGTTTGTTTGCCGATTGAGAAACATTCGAAAAAAAATTTTTGAATGTATGATCATAACCCCCAAGTGAATGCAGGTATATTGTAGTCATTATAGTTTTGAGCGCGTGTTACCTAACATAAAAAAAATCTCCTTAGCACAAATGCATACACAAATACACGATGCATAAAACGAATAATCACTACGTGCTTTGAATTTATTAGGGCCCATAAAGATGATTATAAGCGATATGAACATTCTAAACGTTAATGTAAAAATAATGTACTTTTGCCAGTTAATATACGTATAGTGAAGAAATTGCTTGACCACAGCTGGAATCGAACTCGAGACCTTTGGTTTGCTAGTCCAATGCTCTACCAACTGAGTTAGAACATCACAGACATTATAGTTAAGTCAATCATCAAATATATAAAAAATATATGTATACAGATATCGAAGGAACTATTGACCAAGTTCTGAAATATCACGCACTCGAATCGACTTGACCCCGTAGCTCAGTTGGTAAAGCATTGGACTGGCAAGCCAAAGGTCGTGGGATCGATTCCCACCGTGGTCAAGCCGCACACTTTGCAGCTCGCCCGATGTGAGCACACTCAGAGATCACCATCTTAGATACGTTCACCTACATACACCACAATTGCCATTAGATTCAAGATTATACAAGATATATATTCGAATAAAATAGTTGATCACTGCATAAGCGATATGTATACCGATGGCAGTGTTTTATGATTTTATTCTTTTTATTATACCAAAGCGGTTGGGCAACCAACCTATATATACCTTCTGGTCGAGTGCCTGAAGTTTGGACCGCAAGAAAAATCAAGCAAAGTAGAAGGACAGTTTTGCCTTCGGATAAATCCACCATTCTTGCTGTTCTCTTGCTTGCTTCTTTGAAGGGTGTGGTATGTCTGGCGCAATTCGCCTCAGGTCAACCCCTTTTTAAAGCTAACGATTTTTCCACAACAAGAAATTGAGGCATATTTTATTTACCATAACAATAGCTCCATCCAATCACAATCGAGTAATCGGCATGTGTGGTTGCTTAAATAGGCTACGTTCACGCTGATCGTTTTCGTAATTCACCTTTAGAATTTAATGTTATAATTTGAATGCATGAATCCTATAATTAACCCATGAGTGCGTAAACACAATAGAATCGAATTTTATCCATTGGAAGTTATTTAAAAGTTTATGGTGTCGTTCAGCATACTGTACAGTGTACAGTGTGTCCCAAAAAACGAAAACTATTGAAATAACGTATCGTTCGAATTTGAATGCCTCAGCACTCTGCTGCACCCACACGTGCATCAAAGCTTGATGCATGTAAGTAAATTTTGTGCATAAAGAAACCGTTTAAGAAGCTGTTTTAAATTCCCAAGAGCAGAAAATCGTGCGCTTTACAAAGATATTTTAATTTCTTAATAAGTCAATGTTTAATATATGCACCCTTGTCAATATTTTATGCATCTTTGCGTTCAGCTTAGTGCTAGGGCATTCAAATTTTAACAATACGTTATTTCAATGGTTTTTTGGGACACCCTGTACCCAAAAAAAACGAAAACTATTGAAATCACTTATTGTTAAATTTGAATGCCCTACCAAACAGCTGGACGTAATGATGCGTAAAATATTGACAAGGTGCATGTATTAGAATTTAGTTAGGAATATCTCCTGGTAAAGTGCGCGCGATTTTCTGCCCCTGGGAATTAAAAACAGCTTCTTAAACAGTTTCTTTATGCATAAAATTTACTTATGTCAATCATTTATGCACTCGTGGGAACCAACAGAGCGCTAAGGCATTCAAATTCTGACAATTAAATTGTTATTGGTGATTTCAATAGTTTTCGTTTTTTTTGGGACACCCATAGCTAATCGTTCTTTTCAAATTTTAACAAAAGAAACTATTGAAGTCGACCATTAGGCGTGTTTTAGACGTTTCAATTTAATACTGATGATTTTTTTGAGAGAAATGGACGTTATCCGACGGACCTAAGTTCAGAGATGTAAAATGGGAATCAAGGAACACCAACGAAACATCGATGTGGTTAAATCTAATGATTCTGTGATGTCGAAACTCAGGTAAATGTGACTAAATATGCTGTTACTCTGAGGCTACGTACAGTACGTTAATTTAGGAACGCTGTTTTCAGAGGAATTATTCAACAGATAAATATTATTTCGCTCAGCTTCTGAAAGTTGTACATTCCGTATCGGGTAGGTGCTTTTTCGCGCCGCTACGGAGAGCTATCCGGTTATAGCATAAACATAGCCTGAGTGTCTCGTGCACACCGGGCAAGCTGAAAAATTCGCTCTGCGGTGAGAATCGAACCTGATAACCTTTGGTCTGCTTGTCCAATTGATGCTCTACCAACTGAGCTACGAGTTAAAGTCGGTTCCAGTAGGTGTATGGCGGAACTTGGTCTAGTTACTTCGATATATGTTTATATATGTTATGATTAAATCTATCGTATGTGATGTTGGAACTATAAGCTGGTATATATGGCGCATTGGACAACTTCATAATCTTATACGGTCTGTGCCATGCAGTGTAGGTAGTCCCAATATAATGAGAAAGCTTCTGATTGATAGAGTATCGAAACAATTATTATCCGAAAAATACAAGGAGAACTTTGTCAGACGTTTCGAGCGAAGGACCTTTAATTTGTTGGGAAGAGCCTCCGACGGAGCGCCTTCGCTCGAAACGTCGAAGTTCTCCTTGTATTTTCAGGTAGTTGTATCCCTATCAATCCGAAGCTTTCTCAACTTCATAACTGTCCAGTTTGGTAATCCTTAAGCATGCGACTTTTTCGGCGATTTTTCTACTTCTGGCAAATGTTATCGATTGAATGACATGCAAAAGACTTAGAATTGTTTACTTCTGAAAAGTGACTCTATATACCATAGATATCTTACATACACTAGATAGTGCATCTAATTATTCTGTAATTCAAAAATTGAAGCTGTGATTGCAGACTCAGGATATTCCCATGAAATGAGAAGACTCGTATGTTTTCTATTTCTTAAACAGGGAACTTAAACATTAAGTTAAACCTATTCCAATTCATTTTCAAACTATTCAAATGATGAAAGTTATTGTTGTTTTTTAAGCGTTTGTTAGCGAGTGGGAAACTCCAACATGGGGGCAACCGCTGGATTATTTTTGGCTTCAATTTTACTAAAAGAGATGCGCTATCTAGTGTTTTTTGGATATCTATGCTCTATACTTTTGTATGCGAGTTCACTCATTTGCAACCCTCAGAAACACAAAATCGCCGACAAAACTTGCTAGTGTGAACCATGCTTATATATAAGTGCCTGTTCGAAATAGCGGTGTTATACCATGTATATTAACGTAGACTGCAATTGATACTGCCTGTACGATACTGCCTGTACGACACTGCCTACAGTATATACGTATAGTTACGGTTGCTATGTCCCACAAGCCGTTTAGATTTTGGGTAAAAAAGCGATTCAAAATGTTTTCCCGTGATTTTAATATCATAGTTGATGAACTTAGGCCTGTTTTATACGTCGAATTTTGGTCGTGTCGAATGCAATGAAGACAATAGATAATGAGATGGTAAACCTCATTAAGCTTCATTATCTATTGTTTGAGTTGCATTCGACGCGACCGAAATTCGACGTATAAAACAGGGCTTACATGATTATACACTAAAGGCCGATGATTTACACTATACACAATCTCTGCTTAAAACTGTCGCATGCAACCCATTCATGCGACCTATACAGGGTGTCTCAAAAAAACCCCAAAATAATTGAAATAACGTATTGTTCGAATTTCAATGCCGTAACACAAAGGATTTTGACAGGGTGATTAATTTGTTTTAAAAAATTAAAATATCTTTGTAAAGTGAACGTTTGTTTGCTCATGGGAATTTAAAAATGCTTCGTAAATTGTAATATGCGTAATATGCATTCGTGGGTTTAGTACTTTATGCCTAACATAACAAGTTTACGCTGAGTATTACCATTCATTATAGCAGTTATGTCAATCTTTTATGCACTCGTGGGATTAACTTAGTGCTAGGGCATTGAATATCGAACAATACGTCAATTTCAATGATTTTGGGTTTTTTTGAGACACCCTGTATATATAATCCATTATATCGGATTTTATCTGTTCTTCTAATCCCAGCCAAATTCGTTGGACTTTTTGACGTTAAAAAAGTTGTTTGTGGGATTTGCTCAACTCCATGCATTGGGAAATTTAGTTTGTGGATCTTAACAATGTTTTTCAAAAGTTTAGCGGTCAGGAGTTTTGTCTTCGGTCAAACAATGACATAAGACCTACTTCGTTATAAAGTGCATCTTCATACCGATGTTCAGGAAAAATTATCCTGCAAGCCCCTTTTTGAAGTTTTCGAGATCATCCGAAAGATACGTTGGAAGGAAGTCAAGAAACACTTTCAATGCATTGTTTAGGTGGAACCATGCATTGGCATGACATTAATTGGCTGCATGGTCAGGTCAGACCTAGCTCATGCAACTACGGGTATACCATAACATAATACAATTTAATTATCGGATATTTGAAATGATTTGCACTTCACTTATAGTATATACAACCTACGCCACCACAACAGGTAGTGGTTCAATTAAACAAACACTTGTAACTACGTATTAAAATCTCCCATTTTCCAAATCTTTTGATTTACAGGTTTATTTAAACGCGAATGTACCTCAGTTGTACATTCAAGTATGTTAAGCATTCAAGTATATGTATCATATGTATACATACAAAATCTGTAAGAACTGGTAATTTCTAAGTATACTAGTTAAAATATGAGAAGTTGATCTTTATGGTCATTTACAATGGCGGGCATGCAGTGCGAGCCATTGTTTAATGCCCATAACGATCAGCTTCTCATATTTTAATTAATGACTTGTACCCACTACCCATGGGGACAATCTCATGCTTCTGAATTAGGATTCATCCCTCTAACATGCCTTTCTGATCTTTACTGCGATTCATTCACACTTGTGCGTTCACATGTGACCCAAATACCGCGTCATGATTTGTTTGTAGCCTTATTAATTATTCTCATGAATTTTACAAGAAGTGGGTAAATATAAATGTTTGGGGCATCTCCTTCGATAGAACTATAGCAGTTGAAGGGTTACAAGAACTTGTGGTTAGAGCTCGATAACTGGACTCTGTAGCTCAGTTGGTTGGAGCAATGCACCGGAATCGCAGGGCGCAGCCACAGAATAAAGATCAGTAACAGAAGGGCCACTCAGCGGTGCAACGTGTCCTCGGTTTTTATGGCGGAGCAGCCAGCAATGTACAGCGTGTTTATTGGCCAGAAAATGTCATTGACTGGCTAGGAAAATGGCGGCTAACATGCGACATGCGCAAAGCTTCCGACGTAAGTGGCCCTTCTGTGTGGATCTTTATTCTGTGCCGCAGCTGCTTCTTGTTAAGCCTGAAAATTTTATGTAATCTTCTGCTCGAAGTTTCTATCTATACAAAAAAACTTCAATTGTAAATATTCTAAGATACCTTTTTGCTAAAAAAGACCAATAAATACTTATATAAATAAAGAATCCTCAATTTTCACAGTAGCGACGTTTAAAGCTATCGAGTCAACGGGAATATATTGGTAGCGAGTCTTATCCAATTTAAGTGCACGAAATATTTTCGTGACGATTTAACGCTTGTCTTAGAGGACGCGCAGTGTTTCAATTCTATTTCAGAACCATCCTCAGAGATATGAAACTGGTTTTTTGTATCTCTGAGGATGATTCTAAAAAAAAACGCTGCAAAACGACTTTGGGCAATGAAGAAAAGAGCACATGCAGGATTCTGAAAGGTGGGTGTCGATCGGTTGGTCCGGTCGGTTGATTGGTCGGTCGGTTGGTCTGTCGGTTAGTCTGTCGGTTAGTCGATTGGTTGGTTGGCTAGTCGGTTGGTTGGACAGGTCAGTAATGGTTGATTGGTTGGTTTGACAGTTGGTTCCTCGATTGGTCTGTATTGATAAGCTTGTAAGCTTTACAGGCTATTTGCTTTACTTCTTTGTCAGGTTTATTTTACTAATTTTATTTTATTTCGTTTTTTCTAAAGGAAAACATTTGATTTGCCGTAAGCTATGTGAGCGGGACAAGAATGGGAAGGCCAGCCACGGAAAGAAATTCAACGGATAGAAATGAAGTCGAGAAAGAGGAAATAAATAATGATATATCAAAAGAAGTTTTCGAAAGTGAGGACAGGAAATGCGATAATTTTCCCAAGATGACTTGTCAAAATATTGTATGTGAGTATTAAACTTTACCTTGCATCAGTCCTTCACGGCTCTCTATAGAAGTCCAGTAAAGGTCATCACCGAAGGCTGGTTTCGGCACTATCAAAGTTTCTCTGATCACAGTAGGAATTTTGCATAGGCAAATTCTAAGTTCCGAAGGATTTGTAAGAAACGTTTGAAGGAACTGACTCCTTTCAAAACGTAGAATTTACCTATGCAAAATTCCTACCGTAATCACAGAAACTTTGATAGTGCAAACCAGACTTCATACCCCCAGTGTTAAAGTGCCTATGTCATGATTTGGGATTTTAAATATTTTTTATTTTTGGTGCATTTTATGAAGAAATGCAATATATCTTTATAAGAAAATATACAATCTCGCAGGATTATCAGCCCTCAAAGTTACCGGATATGACATCAAATCGGGATTTTTTTACGCTAGAAAAAAAAATTCTCGGTTTGATGTCAAATCCGGTAACTTTGAGGCCAGATAATCCTGTGACAATGGAATATTTTCTTTTAAAGATATATTGCATTTCTTCATAAAATATACCAATGATTACAAATAATAAATTACACAAATCATGACATAGGCACTTTAATTTAACAAGGGGAAACAAATCGAACTTCTGAAGGAAATTTTGCTGCTATTCTTGTTAGAGTGTGGCTTTGGTTGCATTCTTCTCGCATGTGACTGAGGGAAATTATATTCAGACATGTACATGGGTTATGGCAGTCGACGGCCAATCTTAGAAAGCTTGGTGGATACGCGTTTTTCGTACAACCGACCCCTGACACAGGATTTCAAATCTTTGAGTTTCCATTCATGGGGTTTTGAATGTTTTTTTAAAGATTTACTATGTCTTACTACCAATGAAAAAATTGAATGCTTACCATTTTTGGTTATTATAGATGGGAAATTGGTAAAAACCATCATGTTTGATATTTAACAATTATTGGGTGAGGTTTTTGTGATATGCGGAATTATCAAAGTCGAGGTAAGCGTTATAACGCTTACGGAGACCTTCATAATTTTGCATATCGCAAAAACCGAATTCAATAATTGTTTTATTATACATTTAAAGAATAATAAACATAGTATTGACGCATGAAAAAAACTTTTATTTATGAAAACCTATCCATATTCACATTTTTTCTACGTTTGTTCAAAATTTTGCTTTGCTAGTTTTCCTTTGTTTGTGTTAAATAGATACCGCTTGCTAATCATCGCAGGCTCATTTGCAGATAACTCAGTTATCTGCTGGCAGATAACTGAATTTTGTGTAGGTTGCGTGATTGCGCGATTTAACTGTAAGCTCTTAGCCAATCAAATTGCTTTTACCAACTACAATGTATAATAATCACAATTAATGGTAATTAGTATAATTACATAGGTGATTATTGAAAATTCTCCACGCTGATTGGCTGCTGTTGAGGTGATTATTACGCGATAATCACCTAAGCGATTTTCAAAATGGCGGCCGAAGCCGTTTTGTCAATTAAATGACGAAGAAATGTGTATTTTTTATTTTCTAAATAATCACCTATGAAATTATACTAAAACAATTATTCACCTCAGGCTCGGTGATTATCGTGAATAAAAACCTCGACTTCGTCTCGGTTTTTATTCACCGATAATCACCTCGCCTTCGGCGAATAATTGTTGAATATTTTTAAAAAAAAAACAAAACGTACGGAAATTAATTTTTCCTTTCGTAGAACAAAAGAGTATCCACAATGAGACTAGTATTAAAACAGAATTCATTTATCAAACAGATTTAGAAAATTTGAATGCTGGTAGTACTGTAAAATGCCAAGTGGAAGAATCACTGACAGAGGGTACGTCAAACAACGGATAAACAAGATGATTTGAAAACTGGCAGTGAACACAGCGAATCAGTAAATGTTGTAACTTTCAATGGAAATGTAAGTACAAAAAATTAACATTTAAGTAAAATTAGAATGAAATTGTTATAAACTGCAAACACAACACCAAAATTAACGTGTTAAAAGAAATGTTATCTAGTTATACTTCTGAAGTTGATTTATATTTGACATGAATTTACCGAATTGATATTCATCTTTTGTTAACTTGGACCAAATTATTTTATCCAGTTCTGCTCAGCATTGTTATGTCATACGGCGCCAACTGCTAAAAAATTGTTTGTTACTATTAGACTATTAGTATAGGTAATAGTATTGTTTCGGGTGCAATTTGGATATAACATGCACGGGTGAGTTTTGCAAAGACCTCAAAATAGCACGAGTCCGAGTATGTATGTACCTGCAAGTATGTTTGGCTTTTATCACATGCCATTTCGGTAAAAAGTACCGGCTGAAGAATTTAGGCATTTTAGTCGATATAATTTCTTGTTTGGATAACAAACATTTTAGCCGCCAACATACTATGCAAACAAACAAACTTAGGCTTAAATTGAAGCTCAAAAATTCTCTACAATTTTCTCTTATTCTTGAAAAGAGAAAATGCACACATTCTGCGAAAACATTGCCAAGATTTATATAAAACCGTGCCGAACAAATTTCGGCGGCCATCTTTCTTCTCTTCCATGTTAGAATAAAGAATATTCCATCTTCAAACAAAATAAAAAAATAATGATTATAACTAAACAATTGAAAACAATTAATTTATTTTTTATTTAAATCTTCGTCTGAAATTTGTTCAAATCGCTTAATAGGGAGCTTAAGATCTCCAACGCGAATTTGTGACGCGGACGTGCTTACCGAAGCCTAGTTTTCGCGTGTAAGCCTAGTCAGAGTTGTCAGAGTTTATTTCTTTCAGATTTGTGACACTGTGATGACACGTTAAGAGCCATATGAAATGATAGAAACCAGGCTTTATAGACTATTGTTACGAATGCACATTTTCCCGCCAAAACTACCATCCGAGACGACGTGATATTTGCAAAGATTCGTCGTCATAGAAGTCGTAAAAACTTATGATAAAAAATATCTTCTTAATATATTGCTAGCCTCTGTTATGTTGTACATTTTTTCCAGTATAATTTCATTTTATTTACTGTGATACAAATATTTTAATGGTATTTGCCATCGTTTTAAAATAAAACTTGTTTAATGCGACGTCCGCGTCGTAAGTTCGCGTTGTAGATCTTAAGCTCGCTAATGGCCGCCGCCGAAAACATCGATCTCGAACCCCCCCCCCCCCTTCCGAAACATACGTTAGCAGGTGGGTTTGAGATCGAACCTCGTAGCCAATAGGAAAGACGCTAATACGTTAGGTATGAGATAATATTTGAGGTCTTTGAAAAACTCATGAGTGCTTGTTTTATTCAAATTTCACGAGAAACCATCCTATTACGGAATAATAATATACACAAAAATGTTCCAGACAATTGTAGTAGTTTTGTTACATCACATTATAAAACGCTAACGGCTTGAAAGTTTCACTCAAATATGTTTCCATTTTGAAAAGAGATAAATGCCATTTTTCCACCCACCTCACCTTTTACTTCTATTGCGCGACCGCCATGTTTGTTTTGCAATTTGTGACCGCTACTTGATGACTGCTTTAAGCTGATTGGTTGATTTTAGATGCCATTGTTTTTTCCACCAATCAGATCAATTTTTTACAAATTTTTGCACTGTTACAGAATTTTGCACTGCTGTTTGAGACTATAACTGCACTGAAATCAACCAATCACAGTCGAGTAATATTTTTGTGTATATTATTAGCCTGCTATAATGCATAACATCTACAATAATGCAAAATTATGACGGCTAGTTTTCGAGACGGTCAATTATATTACTAGAATTGGATGTTCCTTACTAGATCTTTACGCTTTCGTTTACCAATTAACTATCAAAAGGCGCGCAATTACGTTCACTTGCCACAGAATCTTAGGCACTTTCGTATTAACAACAACAACCTTCCAAATACGGACAATATTACGATAAACACTAAGATCACCAATGGAGCAACTACTACAAAATTTTCCAACTTGTTAAAAACATTGATTACATTCAAATTACCTGACATCGAAGAAATATCCTCACCATAATAAAGATTTTTAATCAAAGTAAACCCACAAAGAACGGTCAAAGTAGAAAGTGAAAGTGCCTCAATCGCGTTGTCACGTGGTCGGGTGAAAGGTTTAATGTACACGTGAGATGTGAGAATGGCAACACATAGTGTTAACGTTAACATCATTTTGAATCTGTTGTCGTGGACAAAAGTCAATACAAGAAGCAGTGCTAGTCTTCGGAATATTAAATAGCCTTCCCATGGAAGAATAGAGTCGCCAAAACATAGGAATGCTTTGTGAGGTCTAAAAGGACCCAGGAGGACGCGAAGAATGGCTGTCTTTAATACATGTTGTTCAGAGACCTCGTTGGCTGTGCTTTCACTTCTTTCGGATGTTAGGCTAGTTTCTTCCGATCCTTGTATTGTTGCCAAGCAACAGTTTTGCTGACGTGTCTCCAGGCAACGTTGTGTAGCACGGGTCTCCTCGCATTTATCACTTAAGCATGTTGCATGACAACCATTCTGCTGATCTTCCAAGCAACCGTCTTCGTGATTTCCACTAATGACTCTGCTGTATTCCATTGTATCATTGCTAGTTCTTTTATGAAAGCGATAATCTCTGACCAGCAAGTATGCCCAAAGGCAACAAAATGGCAGTGGAAATATACATGCGATGCAAAACTGCGCCACAGAAATACGATCCATCTTTAAAAGATACGCACCAAGCACAGGCACAAGACAAAATGGTAACACGGATGACACCACATAAGCAAGAAGAAAATATTGAAATGTTTGGTAACATTTGATATTACCATCAAGAAATAAAACTTGGTTGTCACTAACTGGTACACAGTGAAGAAGAGAGAGACAGAGTTGAGTCGAAGAAGCGTACATTAATAATGAGATGTAGGTAAAGGCCGAGGCGATACGTGCTTTGAACTTTGATGGCCACAGTTGGGTCTGACCCATTACCAAAGACCTCTTCTCGTTGCAAACCGGTTTTACACGTTTTAGCAGTATCTGAACCACATTTATTACAAGATAAAGGATTCCCAGTAAAACTAACAAACAGTATCCCACAGAATGCAGGATGGCAGCTTTCTGAACAGGCTGAAGATTTTGGACAGGGCAACTAAATGATGGAACATCGACTAAAACCATATTCAAGACTCTTCCACTAATGTCCTCAAGCTTAGCAATAATTTCATTTCTATTTTGAGGTCCCACTGTGCTCTGAAGTAACCGTACAACTTGGTAGTAATAGAAGATCACTTTAAGTAATCCGCTGCTTTGCATTCGTATACTGCTTACGTTTCTATCAGTTTGTCTCCGTGTCTTAAAAATTCTCAAACTGCCAAAAAGACCTTTTTTGACAATGTCAACAATTTCCTCGTGGTAGAGAAAGAAGATTAGGTATAGAAGCAACATCGCGAGTGCGCTAGGAATAAATAACGATCCCAAGCATTCTGTATTTGGAGTACATTGCGAACTAAACAGGCTGTCTGACATTCCTTCCGAACACCGTCCACAGAGCGTTCCAGTTCTGTTTCCATAGCAACTATTATAGCTGACGCAATCATTGGAGTCACAGCAATATCCCGGCGGACATTGCGCAAAGGTTATTGAGGTGTTAGTTTTGAACCCCCAGAAATTCGGCTTGGCCTTCACTAATCCACTGATGCAGTTCCCACCCCTAGGACATTGCATACATTCGATATTATTGCTTGTGTTGTAAATGAATTTCGCTCGTTTTAGAGCATACGTTTTCGCGGGACACTTCGTACAAGTTATGTAAATATAGGTACAATATATGGTGTTTTCATAAACTTCACAGGTTTTTTGAGAATTTAACACATACCCTTGGGGACATAGGATTTCGAAATTATTCCAAATATTAAGTCCTCTATGTTCATGGAAAGGTATGCGCAGAAAAACCGCTTGTCCCGTATTCAAATCCATTATATTGAATATATTTTTCCCTTTGAATAAGACAGCAGAGTGCCCTCTCGCATAAAACTGTGCCGCGGACGAAACTGCTTGGCGGTTTTCAAAGTAGCACTCGCGAAATTCGACGTCCGACAGTTCAGACACGGCGACAACAGCAGAAAACGGACTTTTTCCGGCCTTGTTGTCATGGAAATGACATGACGTCACTTTGTATTTGCCTCCACTGAAAGATATCGCTGGCACAGAATTTTGTGAATTTTGTCCATTGAAGTTCTCCGCAAACGTATTGTTGTAAATTATTACCGTTCTTTTGCCGGACACTTTCGTAGGATTCAAGTTGGAGGTTCGGACAACCAGAGCGGCAGAATTGTTCCTAAAAATACTGTTAAGTATTTCTGCCTTGAAAGGAGCATGTGTGTTGGATATTGTCACAAAAGTAACTGCAGGCAGTTTATTCAAGTTGTTTTCTACCCTGATATTCCTTAAAGATACGTATGTTCCTTTACGTTTCTTTGGGTCATGATCGCTTATTAACAGTGATGAAAATAGCTTCTTCTTCTTTGTCATTCCCAGATGATTGGTAAATACCGATTTCCATATTGAGATATTAAGTATAACTGCGTATGGTTTTATTGCAAATAAATCCGCAGGGACTGTGCTGTGCTCCCCATCAAAAATGCTGTTACGAACAAACACCTCCACTACTTGACAATGATTTTTATACGACTTGTTGTAAATAGTTTGGAGCAAAATCGGACTCCTTTTAAACACGCTGTTTGTTATATGGGCTGTTAGGTTAGTGCATCTTAACCAAATAGCCCAACCCGCTTTTTCTTGAAAAGTTGAATTGTTTATATTAATGAAGCAGTTTTCAGAACTTCTACTGCGTATGCCCATAAAGTTATCTGCAAACGTAGTATTCTCTAATACGAGCTCAAATCCGGTTGCCTCCTTGCATTCTGCCACAGTATCTGTCGATCTTAATACCAAATTATAGAATGAGACTTTGATTGTGTTCAATTTCGAGTTTTTTATTACAAAAAGTTTGCAACTTTTTTTGCATTTTATTATCGGTCGTCCATTTATCCCGTAAAATGAAATCGTCTTATTCAACACGATAGAGCATGTTGGTTGTGTTACATTTTCGCATTCCATATAAGGTCTTCCTTGTGTATAATTAATATAAATTCGATCTCCATCATTGGACATCTTCACTGCATATCGCACAGTTCGACATGGCGTAGTCCAGTTACCACAATTATTGACATTGCTGCCGTGCTGAGTGTCGACATACCAATCTACTGAGAGTACATTTTGATTTCCTGCATGAATGATATAATGTTACATGCAAGTATATTTGATGGTGTTTAACACCAGACAATGGACCATTTGCATTATAGACTAAATATTGATCTAGACAAAAATTTCATCACAGCTTGAAAGAGCATCACAAAATTAGTAATATTCCAAAGTTGTAAAAAAGTCGTTGCGAAATGTTGTAAAATGTGGATAATATAGTCTTGCGAAGTTTGCCGTTTTTCAATCATTTTGTATTACGCACGGGAAATTGACAGCCCAATCGGGTAATTGGGGCATCAATTTCCCGTTTTAATACAAAATGATGAAAATTGAAAACTTTGCAAGGCTATTTTTTCCGCATTTTACAACATTTCGCAAAGAAACTTCGGAATATTACCAATTTTGTGATGCTCTTTCAAGCTGTGATGAAATATTTGTTCTAGATCAAAATTTAGTCTATAATGCAAGTGGTCCATTGTACTATCTACATTTTCTGGACTATTTTATTCTGTCTAACACAGAACATTTTCTATGTGTGTCGGGAAACGAATCATATTATTGTCACGTAGTTAAAACAAACCAAAGTCAACTGAAATAATATTACGAAATATCCCGTAAACCTCCGAATATAAGCCTCCCCCCTGAAAATAAGCCCAGTGTATATGTATAAGCCCATGGGCTTATTATTGGACAGGCATTTATTAATGCAGTGAGAGGGATCAGCTAACAGCTCAGACGAGTGAAGATAATTCCCCAACATTTATTATGTGTTTTATACTGTATGTTTATATTTCTTTTCGTTCACGGGATAGTTTACAGGTGCAATAAATATTATTACTAAAGCCAACTGTGGTCCGTATATAAGCCCATAAGAACGAATGTAAGTACAACAAGTATGTTCATTACACTTACCTTGAAAGATTAACAATATCACAGCTAAAATACTGAGGCACAACATGTTGAAGGATTTTCGTGACCTAAGTCTAAGACTTTAAGAACATATATGAAAGTGAAGACTGAGTGAAAAAGCAATATCTGTAAATTCAAGGGCATTAAAACGCCGCTTAAATATTCCAAGTGGCTTCGTTTTCTTATGTAAATTAAACTGACGGTTAGCTTGTGTAACTTATAAGCTTAACGGTTAAGCCAATATAATCTTTTAAGGTACTTTCTGTACTACTGCTGATTTCAAGTTCCTGCTTGCTAAATATAGCACATTATGATACAGAGTGTCCAAAAAATAAACGGAATCCATCTAAATTAATTATATGTCTATTGCAACGCTCAACTAATTATAATACAGAGTTTGATGACTTTGACATCTCTGAGTCTTCATTTCAATTTGTATAATAGCTACACTACAAAAAGCTGCTGTAACACTGATTTTAGTCACTAAATCTTTCGGCATCGATCGGCGTTGGAGGACGAATTGAGGTTAATTGTATCGTAATACGAGTACGTTTCTATTTTCATGAATTTGTTGCTTGCGTGATGCATAAATGTTCCATTTATGCGTGTACACGTGATGATCAGTTTCGAAGTGAGAAGCGTGTTAGTAAGTTTCTATTTGACAGCCAATACAAGGCCGTCGCCCTCCCCATCACAAGGAATTATTAACATTGATGAACATTCCTCTCAGATGAACATTCCTCTTTTTCTGAAAAATGAACATTTCTCTTTTTCTGATGAACATTCCTCTTTTTTTTTCAATCCGGAAAGCTTGCGTGCCTCTTTTAACTAAAACAAGACGCCTGCTCAGGCGTTCACACTGACCTGAAAATGACAACATATATACGTGCTATGGTGCAATAGACAAGAATGCAAAACGTGAAACGCAAACGCAAAGTGTGAAACGGTGAAAGGCTAAAAGCGTGGCGTGATCCTCAGGAGATGTTTTTTAATGCCCAATGAAACACAGTATTACTCACAAATACAAACGTTATCCATAAATGCACATGGTCTCTGAGCATGCGGACAATGCGATGTGCTAACGCAGACAACATTGTTTACATTCCGTGACTCCGTATTAAACGAATAAAATTCGAAAGACTCAGCGATCCAGATATTGCATTTCCAGAGACGTTGCACGAATCAACTTCCAAGAAAGTGCAGAGTAGGATAAATCCAAAATCCACAGAAAAACGCGCTAAAATTCGTTGACAAATGAATAAGTTGTTTGAGACTGAAATAGTCACTCATTGAATGGCCGCCATCTTGAAAACTGATCTGTATAGTAAACTGGAACACTGGAAGCTGAGCCTGCGATGCGCTAACGCAAACTCGATTTCTCGACGACGAAAAAAACACAGGAAAAACCCAGATATTTAGGGATTGAAGACACTTGACCTTTCAGGTCAGTGTAATAATCATTGATCATTCGTGGCCGATCTAACGTGCAGATCATTTCGCTCGAGTAACAAGTTTTGATCATCAAGAATAGGATTTTACTCTGAGACAAATAAGCACTATAAATTGTATTAGAATGTTAGAGTTTGTAATCCAAGTGAGAATATATACATTTTAAGACCTAACCAGGAACGACTGCGAAAAATGCAGCACATGGTCCTCTGGTAGGAATTGAACCTACGGCCCTGCGATTCCGGTGCAGCGGTCTAACCAACTGAGCTACAGAGGCCAGCTGTTGAGCTGTAACCGTAAGTTTATGTATATATAGGTAATCGGGTGTGCGGGTTGTGATAAGGTGGACTTCAATAATTTGGATTCTAATATTAATTCCAAGAAGTGCAAGAATATTAATCCAAATTATAAATTGTATTCCCTTGAGCATTCTAGTACGCCGTAGTTGTTCATGATGGCTTGCCCGCCAACAGCTAAAACATTTGATATTGTGTAGGGGGGGCTACTTCAGGAAATTTCAGGGTTGTGAAAAAGAAGTGCTTTTAAAAGTTTAATAATGTATTTTTTGTCTCGAATACTAAAGTATAAGTTTGTAAACTGCCAGTATCACAAAGTCAGCGTGCGTCACATCCGCGGCGAATATGTAATGAGATCGGCTCTCCACGCGTTTAAACGCACGTGTTGTGCTTGGCATCTGTCGTAACTTTGTATCGAGTATCGTTTGCTCGGTTTCTTTTTCACTTTCGTCTTCCAATTAACTTTGTTGACATCTTGAAATTCTGAAATTCATCTGATCCGTCCAGTTGTTTGTTGGGACCCACGCAGAGCCGTGTCGGTGAACGAGATGTTTTGATTCCAATCATGCGTGGCAAAATTTGAATAACAAATTACAATGAACTCTTTTTAATATTCGACTAAACTGTATAATTGTATAGAATAAGTTCTATGAAATTAGCGTATACATAAATCTCTCTCATAGAGAAGATGCGAAGATGTAAGAAAATCCTTCCACGAATTACGTTCACGGTTGTGTTACCGACAGCTTTGAAAGATCCGGCGACGTTGTCACTCATCATGATTGAATCGATTATTCAGGTAATACGTTGACTTCTTACTTGTACGGATGAGGTTCGTGTTTTAAAATGATAGTCATATAGACGATATATATAGAATATATAAACAATCAAGACTTAGAATTTAGCCTTGGACTTTAGCCTTATGATACATAGGCTAGCTATAGCAGCCCAGTTGGGCCCGAGCGTGCATATCACTAATACTATACACTTAATGTCTGATCCCGAGGGAAAAAGTTTGTTTTGTTTTCCCGAGAATCTCAATGTTTCCCAAGACGAAGTCGAGGGAAACATTGAGATTTGAGGGAAAGCAAAACTAACTATTTCCCGAGGGAACAGACATTAAGCGTTCTGTTATATAGCGACGAACAAATATCAACATTCAACAACATTCATACAACAATTGTAGTTCGTGACAAAAACTCTATAGTGTAAACGAGTTTAAAATTAAAAGAACGTACTTAAACGGTTTCAACACCATATCCTGTTGCCTGTTGTATATTTTTTTCTCTTTTACATTCTAGTTATTTCAACACAAACTTGGAAATCATATTTCTAATTATGCTAGTTGTGCCGCCATTTTGTTTATTTATCTACGTATCCGGTCGGGGCGGGCAACAATTTTTCACTTGTTGCCACGCAGGCTACTTGTTACCCGGTGGGATACATTGCATTTATCTTACGTCACGTGACCACAAATCTGCCAATCACGTTTGGTGTTCACCCTAGCTACATAACGAGTCTACTTTACTAAAGTATGAATATTTCGCAAATTACAAGCAAACATAATAAAAAAATCTGCATCATTTCAAACACTGGTATTTTACTACATTCTGCCAAAGTTTTAACTTCAATTTCAAAAGTTCATTCTAAGGTTGTTAAAAAAGCGAATTATTTTCGGGGTTTTGACAAAATTTTGTCAAACCTACGCTGGGGTAAACGAGGTTGCGCAGGGGTCACATACCCTATGGTGATGTCATAGTTTTTAAATTTTGAAGATGCGCTGATTGGCTTTTAACGACGGTAGAAAAATTAACGTTTTAGGTCATCTCAAAATTGTTATTTTCTTCTCTTTCCACAATAACTTACAAAAGCACATAGTATTACAATCGTTTATTTTCTGACTATGAAATATTGTGCATATTTAGGCTGGAATTGAAAACTTATATGATCTTATGAAAATTAATATTATCGAGATAGACTATCCATTTGTTTGTTTCAGTTGTTGAAGATGGCGTGCTGGTAATAACAAATTATGTAAGTAGTTGAAGTGATCTTTCTATTTAAGAAATAGAAAACCATTAGTCTTGGTTAAAACAACCAATTCATATTGGTTGTCTCAGATTCGCTTATTTGACCAATATTTTATTGGTTAAAATAACCAACAATTTGGTTCTTTTCACCAATTTTTCGGTTTGTTGTGACCAAATAACATTGGTCAAAAGAAAATGCATCTCAGACACCAATTCAAATTGGTTA